ACCACATACTGGGTCACAAGATAAATATCAATAGATACACTAAGATCGAAATCATACCAACTATTTTCTCTGACCACGATGGATCAAACTAGAAATAAACCATATGAAGAAGGCAAGAAACCCACATACCACGTGGAGACTAAAACCCACACTACTGGAAGACCATTAGATCAATGAGGAGATCAAAGAAGAAATTAGAAAATACTTGGAGACGAATGACAATGACAACACAAGTCTCCAAAACATGGGACACATTAAAAGCAGTTATAAGAGGAAAATATATAGTAATACAAGCTCACATAAAGAAACAAGAAATAGCTGAAAGAAACAACCTAATGTCCCACCTTAAAGAATTGGAAAAAGAACAACAAAATAACCCCAAAAGCCAGCAGAAGACAAGAAATAATAAAAGTCAAATCAGAAATAAATGAAATGGAAGTCAGGAAAACAGTCCAAAAAATCAATGAAACCAAAAGTTGGTTCTTTGAAAAAATAAACAAGATAGACAGGCCACTAGCCAGATTCACAAAGAAAAAACAAGAGAAAGCACAAATAAACAGAATCATTAACAAAAGAGGAGAAATCACAATCGACCCAGCAGAAATCAAGAATAATCAGAGAATACTATGAGCAACTATATGCAAACAAATTGGACAGTTTAACAGAAATGGACAAATTTCTACAACTCTACAACCACCCAAACCTAGGTAAAGAAGAAATAGAACAGCTAAACAGACCAATTACAAGCAAGGAAATAGAAGAAATAATCAAAACCCTCCACAAAAATAGAAGTCCAGGACCAGTTGGATTTACAAATGAATTATACCAAACATTCAGAAAAGAACTAGTGCCCATTCTACACACTCATCCAAAAAACTGAAAAAGAAGGAAAACTATCATAAACGTTCTACGAAGCCAACATCACACTAATACCAAAACCTAACAAAGAAAATACAAAAAAAGAAAACTACAGACCAATCTCCCTAATGAACACCGATGCAAAAATCCTCAACAAAATCTTAGCTAACAGAATCCAACAAGGTATTAACAGAATAATACACCATGATCAAGTGGGCTTTATCCCAGGAGCACAAGAATAGTTCAACATCAGAAAATCAATTAATGCAATCCATCACATCAACCGACAGAAGAATAAAAACCACATAATCATTTCGATAGATGCGGAGAAGGCTTT